CTCTTCACAGTCGGTCCTAGAATAGTGACCTAAAAGATGTGCAGCCTACAAAAGACATTCCAGAGCCAGAACCTACCCTCAGCTTCGCTTGCAACAGACTTACGTTATGACAGGGTCTTCCCAGCACCTGTATAAAAATCAAATGTGGCCCCAGAGACTTGACATGGTTATGCTTGGAAGTGGGACCTGTAAAGGCTTCAGGCAACAATCCTTCGTAGTAACCTCATAAAAGGGCATCAATGTCTATTTAACATGAGAAATCAGCTCCCAGAGAAAGAACTCTAGTATTTTAAAACCCATATAATACTAAAAATGACCTAGCATCCAACTAGTGCCTTTCTGTGAACTGTCGAGATCTTTTGTCATTGAGCCTCATGAAAAATCTAAAGGATGTTAGTGGAAAGGCCAATAACCTGATTCATCAATGAGTTTCCACCACTTGGTGAGAATAATCATTCAAGCTAACACAGCCTGAGAACGTCTGCCAGGTAAGTTGCTCCATACCTTAATACGTGAGCTTTCGGAATTCTCTTGACACACTATTGTAAATGCTACCATTCTTCTCATTTTAAAGATGAGAAAACTGGGGTGCCTGGGTGGCTCAGTCAGTTGGGCATCCAATTCCTGATTTCAGCTCGGGTCATGATCCCAGGGTCATGAGATTGAGCCCACAAACGTGGGTCCTGCTTGGGATTTTCTCTCTCTCTCTCTCTCTCTCTCTCTCTCTCTCTCTCTCTCTCTCTCCCTCTGCACCTCTCCCTAACTCATGAGTATATTGTCTCTCTCTGGCTCTCTCTGGCTCTCTCAAAAATAAATAAATAAGCTTTAAAAAGAAAAAAGATCAGGAAACTGGAGCTTGCAGAGATTACACTAAGGCCCAAGGACTATAATGGCCAGGAGAAGGAGCTGGGCTACTCTACTGCTCCTCCCCATCTACAACCCAGAAGACAGAAGCAGATGTGGTCTGTTTGTCAGTCCCCAGGTGGCCGAAGCCCAATGTGTGGCACTGGGTTTAAACTGGCAGCACAGGGATTATAGCTAATCTCATCAACAGCTATGGACTGTGTCCCTCACCCTGTCCGCTACTTCACAGAGGTCCTTCTTTGGACCCCAGCAAGACTAGGAATGGCTCAGCACACCCCACCCCATCCCCAGTATGCAAAAAAGAGAACTCAAAATACTTTTTTCCATTAGCAATGGAATTATCCCTTTTCCATTCCCATTGGTGTCCTTAATAGTGGAAAATTCCATAGAGACTGATTGGATGAGGTATGAAAGCCTTCCAAACTTAAGTGTGTTCCAGAAATTTAGGTTGTGTCCATGCATGTTTAATGGCGCAGGGTTTCTCTTTTTCAATAGGGTCGTCACTTAGAGAACAGAAAATATTATTTGCCTTAGGCTAGAAACCTACTTCTCTTGAGTACATACCTGCAGAATGTGGATAATAATATCTAGCCCACGTTTTTCATATGGGTTGGGGCACACAAAGAGAATACAAAGAAAAGAGTTAAGAATAATTTTATAACACAAGCCCAAATACCATCTTCTCTAACTTTACCAGTCTAAAGGTCCCACCACTATACATCTTTCTCCTCACCACGACCAGTTTTCTTTTATTTATGGCAGCTCCAGTAACTAAATTAAAATTTTTAATTTGTTTTCTTGAGCGCTCTCTGTCTCTGCAACTACAATGAAATTCCATGCAAGAAGGGATTTCGTCTTCTTGTTTGCCAGTCCATTGCCAGCATCTAAAACCGTCCCTGACACACACTAGACACTCAATAAATGCACATTGATGCATTGTGACACAAACATTTCTTTGTGAAAATCTGTATCTTTATAAACATTTTTAAAACCGGATTGAAGTCCGCAGAAATAGATGAATCATAATCCTTGGCTAATGGCATGTTTATCATTGATCCATGCATGACCTTCTTTTCTGATTTATTTCGCTATTGAATTAGGTTTTTCTTTAATCAGGTAATAAACACCTGGGAAAAAAACCAGAACCTAAAACAAAAGCTAAGGCCCTGTGTTTACCATAAGGCTCCAGAACCCTAACTCATCCTCCCCCTCCTTCCCATCTAAGGTGATCATCATTCAGAACCCAGGCTCTTCATTTCTTGTTGTCTTATGTCTATTTCCCTTGAAATGGAGCTTGAGTTGGGATTGCTGTTTAGGTGGTTTATTGAGGGAGTTCTCAGGAGAAGGGGAGTTTGGGAAGCATGATAGGACAGAGTAAAAAAGCTAAGCAAGGATGTGGAATCAGCTGGAAATAGTACTCAGAGCTCTGGTGCACACACTGCATGCGCCACAGTGTGACTGACACTACACTGAGGCAAAAGATTAGATGTTTGTACCCTGCAAGTCAGTCAGCCGTTGGCTGACATTTGGGGAGGTGATCTAGAAAAAAACAAGTGCACAGCCTCCTGGGTGAGTCAGTCCCCAGTTGGCTAATGGCAATTCTCCAGGGAGGAATGGAGCCGCGAGCAGCCAATACTCAGAGCAGCTGGGAATCCATACACTTGAGCAAGAACTGAGGTCTGAGCATGTCTCCTATCTTCCTTCCCTTTTTATATGGTTCTGTCAAATTTTACATGTTTTCCTTGAAAGGAATTATTATTTCTATTTTGTTCCCTTATTTGGAAGCTTCTAGAAAGGAAATCACACTAAATTTTGTTTTGACTGTTGCATAATATTTCAGCATGTGAAAATACCATACTTTACTGCCCTATTCTCCCATGGTGGACTTTTGAGTTGTTTTTAGGTTTTTGCTATTATGAATAGTGCTGCTGTGAACATTCTCATATATGTCTCCTATTGTAGATGTGCAAGAATTCCTTGGGTTTATGCCTGGGGTGGAACAGCTAGACCATGATGTGTGAACTTTAGAAAATAATGTCAAACTATTTTCCAAAGTGGTTTTATGAATTCATATGCTCACCAATAGTAGATGAGATCCTATCATCCGCCTCCTCTCCAACATTTTGATTTTTGTAAACCGAAGGAGTATAGAATGGCATCTCATTGAGGTCTTCACTTGTATGTCCTCAATCAGTAACCATCTCTTCATATTTTTTTAAAGTTTACTTATTCATTTTGAGAGAGAGAGAAAGAGAGTGAGTGGAGTAGGGGCAGAAAGAGAGGGAGAGAAAGAATCCCAAGCAGGCTCCAAACTGTCAGTACAGAGCCTGATGCAGGGCTCCATCCCATGAACTGTGAGATCACAACCTGACCCAAAATCAAGAGTCAGACGCTCAAAGAATGAGCCACCCAGGTGCCCCTCTTCATATGTTTATCAGATATACCTGTTTCCTCTTCCGTGAAATGCTTGCTCATAGTTTTTGTCCATTTTTCTATTTGTTATGTGTGCTTTTCTTATTGATCTGTAGAGATTCTTCATACAAATGTGAAAAATCCTTTGTTGTGTGTATTATGAATATAGCAAATACCTTCTAGTTTATAACTTTACTTCTTACTTTCTTTATGGTGTCTTCTAGGGAACAGAAGCTCTTAATTTTATTATAGTCACAGGTATTCTTTTTATGACTTTTTATGTATTGTGTAAGAACTCTTTCCCTCAAGGAATCCAAAGTCTTGGGGGTGAGGAGGTCTACAAATAGAACCAGGGTACAGGCGAGTCACAGAGGCAAGCACTGTCATGCCCACTGGGGCATTGTCTAGTCCAAGGAAGCCCTGACTAGCCAGCACAAGCGACCAGCTGGCTGGCTGGCAGGTGTGTTCTGGTTATAGAATTGGATATATCATGCTATTAGAGCTGGATACCATTAAAAATTCTAATCATAGACTGTAATTAACTTTCCTTGCTCTGACGCCCCGCTCACTAAACAACCTTCTGATTATAATTTGGCTTCCCATGTATCTTGCCTACAGGGAGAGAATGTACTGTTCAGACCGACGTGAGGATTCAATCCACTAAACAGTTACATGCCATGATGTAAATTAATAAATTCGTATTCTGATTTTATCATCTGCCTCATCTGAGCTCTGTGGGCGTGAGTCAGCATCCTCAAGTCTAATCAACACGGACACTGAGAATAGCAAGCTTCTGAGCTGAAAAACGAAGAACTAGACCCAGGACCAGAGTGAAATCACCAAGGTAACACTGCCCTGGAGGCCCTTTGGCCTGATAGAGAAGGCCTTCCTACATGTCATGTGATACAGACAGGGATTAAAATTGACTTTTGACATTTTAAAGAGCTGCATATTCAAAGCCATGGCTTGGTTCCATTCAGGTGAAGGCGAAGAATAGGACATGATCATGAGGCTCATACTGAATATTTATTGGCCTATGAGCACACACCAGATGCTGCACAAATCCTAGGCAGAAGGATAAGATTTACAGACATGTTTGAAAAAAAGCTGGGGCGGGGTGGGGGGGAAGGACAGATGGTATGTGCTGAGGAGGAATGGAACAAGAGAAGCCTGACTGGTGAATCCTTGCTCCACCTTGACGCTCATGGCCCAGGATGCAAAATAGAAGAAGTTGACTTTAAAGACCAAAAGAAAAACCAGGAAAAGGAAACACAAGGTACACGAGAGCACGAACAGGAATGTGCCAGGGCAGTGAGATGATCCAGGCCAGAGGAGTGATTTAGGATCCATAGGGTGAGGGCAAGATCTTTGAAGTAAGTTCAAAAGGCAAAGTAGAGGTGAGCCTATTAGGACAGATGGGGGTAATTTAGCAATCCTGCTATTAGATCACCACTTCATTAAGGGTTCCTGGGTGAGCAGTGCCTATGCTGTGATCCCCTTCTGTGACCCCAGTTCCACTGCATAACAAAGAGAAGAACGTGATCAGAACTGTTGTATCTGGGAATTTGGGGCCCAGTGATGAGAAGTGATCCTTACATCGTATTCAGACCCAAACCAAACAAAAACAAGAACAAACAAAAACAAAAAGGAGAAAGACCTCTACTGATACCCCTACAAGATTTATTTTTCAAAGACAAATATATTCAAGGAGTGAGATAAATTAAAGGAAGTTCTGTGTCATCTTACAGACTAATCTCAAAGATAAGCATTGTCTCTCCCAGGGTGCCCCTCTGGGGGCCCTAGCAGACCAAGGTCACCAGCTAGGCCAGACTGGATAAAGCTAGAGAACCATCTTAAATGTCTTTTTGTTCTAAAAATGAGGTAGAGGCATGCCACCCACTGCGGAGTGACCCTAAGTGTGGCCTGCCCAACCAATTATGTGAAAGGAAGGGCACACAAAGGGCCCAGTGAAACAGCAGGACCAGAACACTGCAGGGAAGAGGCAGTGCTTCTCCAAGATGCACCACCAGAATGCACAAACTTCAAGGATGAGGGCTGGGGAGGGGCTGCCCTGTGCTCCCCACAAAGCTAGAGGGCTCTGATTCACATGCGAAAGAACAAGCTCCCTTTAATAGGAGCCTCAGCAGACATGCAGACACGGGGATAAATAACTGAAGACAGAGTGGGGCTCTTCGTCTAGTAGAGGTTGTCCCGCACGTGCTCCATGATGGTCTTCAGCCCCAACCAGGTCTCCTTGGCAGTGGGGATGATCTGGTTGGCTGGTAGGAGGAAGCCATAGTGCCCAGTATCTCTCAACTCAAATGTGAACGCATACTTGATGCCATTATCATAGGCCCAGTCAATGCTGCTCCCGCTAGCTGGGTCTGTAAGTCAGAAAAGAAAACACCTTTGAAGCCCAGGTTCTTTCAGGGCTGGAAGGGAAGGAGCCAGGAGTTCTGCCTGCCTGTGATTCCTTAGGGATCTAGAGTCCTTTCTGTGGGTCATCAGGCCTACGACACATGAACACTGGCCTGATGAGCATCTTCAATAGTCTTGAACCAAGAGATTTTAAATCCTTATCCCACCTTGTCACTAACTCACTGTGTAGACTCCTTTAGGTCACTTAAAACCAATCTTCACAGAGTATGATAGGCAGCCTCCGAGACATCCCAATGATCCTGATCTCCTGGTCTTCACATCCGTGTATAGTGCACTCTGACGGTGAGTAGGGCTGACCTGATCTGGGTAAGTGACAGGAGACTACAGAAATGATGGTGTGTGGCCTTCAAGGCTAGATCAGAAACACTGAGGCTTCCACCGTGCTCTCTCTTGGATCATTTGCTCTGGGGAAAGCCAAGCACCAGGGTGCATGGACGGTCAGAAAGTGTCCTACAGCGATGAGGTCCACGTAGCGAAGAACTAAGGTGTCCTGCCAATAGTCAGCACTCTCTTGGGAAGCACTAAGTGAGCCACTCTAGAAGCAGACCTGTCTGGCCCAGTCAAGCCTTTGAATGTCTCTAGCCTTGGAATACATCTTGACTGTACCTCAGGAGAGGCCCTGAGCCAGAGCCACCCAGCTAAGCCATTCCTGAATTCCTAATCCCAGGGAAGCAGTGGAAGAAAATAAATGTTTATTATTTTAAGCTGCTAAGTTTTAGAATAACTTTTTACATAGCAAGAGATAAGGGATACACAGAGAGAAAGAGGTGCGGCCCTTGGGACTCCCCTTGGCCAAAAGTCTGGGGAAAGGAAAGAGGCCTACCTTCCTGCTTCTTCCGAGCCAAACTCTATTGGAGCAGAAACAGGCTAAGAGTGCAAAGTGTGGATGACACCAAATCACCAAATGATGACGTCAATAACAGCTATCACCTATCGAACATCTACCACGAGCCCATCATTATATTGGAAAGTTTACACATATGACCTCATTAATCTTTCAAAACCCCAGTGAGGTGGGTATCACTGTCCTTGTTTTTCAGATGAGGAAATCCAGGCTCAGGGTGCGTAATTTATCTAAGGAAATATAGACAGAAAATGGCAGGACTGGGATTGAAACCCGTGTCCCTCTGCTGATCAAAGCCCATGTTTTCTTCAACTTCCTCCCAGTGCATTTAGTACAGTACATGTCTGCTAAATGAAAACATGAGTCCTTTTGTTTTCACACCATTCCTGAGGGTTGTTTCTCATGATACTATTAGTGATTTTTCTGGAGATGCTACTTCCACTGCAATGACACGCGCCCTGAGGTTATGAAACAGGCCCTCCTATATTCTCTGAAATCCTTGTGCGGTTACCACATCCTTCTCTACCCTGAGAAAATGCTGAATAAAAAACAGACAATGGCAGCGAAATTTCTAGATGTTATAGATATGGCAAACTCAAGTATTCCAGAATACATTTTGAATTCAGGAAGGACCCAAGAAGATCTCTGCTGAGCAAAGTGATCAAGTGCATGTACTTCACTTTATTTGGGTCTCTGCTCAAAGTCTACCCAGTCTTTTAACATAAATCAGAACACTCTACTAACATACTATTAAAAACAAAATGTAGAGGCACCTGGATGGCTCAATCGGTTAAGCGTCTGACGCTTGATTTCGGCTTAGGTCATGATCTCACGGTTCATGGGATCAGGCCCTGAGCTGGGCTCTGCAGTAACAGTGCAGAGCCTGCCTGGGATTCTCTCTCTCCTTCTCCCTCTCTGCCTCTCCCTGACTCATTCTCTCTCGCTTGCTAAATAAATAAACATTTAAAAAAAACACTGTATTTTTTAGTTAACATTGGAAGATTATTTCCTGTTAGCACATATAAATGCACCTCACTCATTTAAGGTGGCATGCTGCTTCACTGTGTGAATGCACCAAATGTGTTTTTAATCAGTACTGTACTGATGGACATTTAGGGATCACCAAGCTTCTGTGACTATAAACAATGCTGTCATGAACATTCTTCATCCTCACAATCTATCCACGAGTCATAGGAGCCCAGAGAACTTGTGTCCAAGCCCTGAGTAGACCAGAATCAGTGAAGGGAAGGGGACAGGGTTGCTAGAGGCAGGTGGCCTGAGAGCAGCACAGTGTGACCAGAAGAAGGAGGCATGAAAACTCTATAAAAGCAGACACAAGAATTAAAGAAGCAAAATGGGCTGCAGCTGTCCAGCACAGGGACTGAAAACAGTATGGCACAGAAAGCCTTCAGGACATAACAAATGACGTTCAGAAGGCTGCTCCGTCACAAAAAAGGAACTTAAATCTCTTGCCCATGTTCTGTTTAAGATGGCAAGAAAGCAGGGCACCTGGGTGGCTCAGTTGGTTAAGGGTCCGACTTTGGCTCAGGTCATGATCTCACCATAGTTTGAGCCCTAAGTCGGGCCCACTGCTGTGTGCACAGAGCCTGCTTTGGATTCTTTGTCTCCCTCTCTCGGCCCTTCCCTCTCTCTCAGCCCCTCCCCTGCTTACACTTGTGCTCTCTCGCTCTCTCTCAAAAATAGAAAAAAAAAAAAAAAAAGAAAAAGAAGGCAAGAAAGTGTGAAATTCGTGTGATAACTGTTTTCAGCTAAAATGGTTAATCTAAGAAAAGGTCCAGCACTTGAAGGGACAAATGTCATTACTTCTGTAGCACATGCAATAACAGCCCAAAGAATTGGAGAGTTGTTATACAAAAGTTGATTACATTTTTGGAAAGCTGGGGTGGGGGAAGCAGACAAAGCCTTTAAAGAATACAGAAGATGCACTCTTGAAAGATTTCGGAAATACCGTGTCTCCCGGACAACCATCAGGAGAGCCTTCTTCCTCTGCTTCTGGAGGGGTCTCATGAGTGTGTCTGGATTTTGGCACAACTGTAGCTGGGGGAAGACTGTGTTTGATGTGGGACCACAAGGCCATCCTTTAAGCTGGAGTGTGACCCGAAAGCCCTGACTGTGGTGACCCACGAAGCTCTTTGAGAAGGGCCTCGTCAGAGGACCCCCACCTAGTCTCTCGAGCTCTCTGTAGTCCTGAACTCAGTTCTCACTAATGAAGCAGAGGATGGAGAAACTCGCCTGATGTGCTCCCCTTCTGAGGAGTCCCCCTCTAACAACAGTAATAATAATAAACCATGAATAATTAATGGACAGTTGCCGCAATTACCCGCACAATGACAACATCAGGCTAACTGCTTTATATAGCGTGGTGGCCGTGGCGGGGGGGGGGGGGGGGGGGGGGGGGGGGGGGGGGGGGGGGGGGGGGGGGCGTATGAAAGACACACAAGAGGCTGGGGTCAGAGTCCCGAGGGCCCATGGGGGATGGAGCGTCTTCCCAGAAGAAGAAGGCTGAAGGGAACCACTAGCTGAGGGTGAAGCAGTTGGATGGCAAAGCTACGGTATGGAAGAGGACAGAAACATCGGCAAGTTTGCGGGGGCTCTGAGGGTGGACCGGCTGTTGGGAAGTTACTTACAGAGGAAGCACTAGGTGGAAAAAGAAGAGCACTAGCTTAAAAGGTGTCAGAATTGGGCTCCTCATGTTTGTGTTTTTATTTCCCATTGATAGCTAGGCTCTTAGAGAATGATAGCATTCCTCAATTTGACTTTAAAAGATCAGGCTCACAGAATAAGGGGACCAGAAGGTTCTCAGTAGGAACAGACTGAAATGCTCAGATGAAACACTTCAGTGAGAAACCAAAACAAAGGTTGAAGCTGTAGGTAATGAGCCTCACGACAATCTTCAGGTTTGGAGTCTTGGTAGAGTTTGTTTTGTTTTGTTATTGTTTGTTTTTTGGGGGAGGGAAAGGATCGGCTTGATGTTCACCATTGCAAAGAAGACCCCAGATCCCAGCATGCTGTGCTCCAACACGTGCTCGCTCCTGATGGGAAGTTGTGAAAACCCCCCTCCCCACCCTCAGTCTCACCACCTTGGTCTGCCAATCCAAAGGTGGCTTTCCTTTGAAGACAGAATGATGGGCTTGCGGAATTTTCAATAACCTATGTCAGGATCCCTCATAGAAATTGAGGAACGCAGACTTCAGCACACTGGCAGGACCCAACTCACCGTGGGCACATGATAAACGGCCCAGCGGTGGTGACAGTACCGATGAGAATGACCGCCTGCAGCATGTACGGTCACACAGGCTGGACGCAAATCTGGTCTATGGCTAACAACAGAAGCAGTCCGACTAAAGTGCAGGGAAGCCTAACTTGCAGCTCTTCTCCCGCTTCCTTCTTCTCAAGTTTCCTCTCAAAGCATTTTCTAAATAACTGATGATCACAGCAAGTACTTACAGACAGTGGTGCAGGTGGGACCCACTTGGTAGGTAGTGCCCGACAGGGAAGCCAGAGCTTTGGCCGCACGCCTTGCCACCTTGTCCTAGAAGAAGGACCCAGCGCGGTGAGAAAGAATGGATCCCACAGCCTGACATCCCCCAATGGCTCTGCACTGTAATGGTCTGGAAGATTCTCGGCCCCTCCCCTGAGTTTCCCTCCTGGTCTCCTTTCCCATCCAACCAGGGCCAAAGCCTGACACGCAGAGATGTGGAGGGCTACTCACCAACCCGTTAGGAATCTAGGAAATAAACCAGCATCTTCACCTCTCCCGAGGGATGGGAATGTCATGTTCATGAACATGGGAGAAGGCCAATTTACATCCCAGAGAAAACCTTCTAAGAGTGGGGTGTTCCTGGAGTGGGTGAGACAGGGCCACCGTCTCACCCATGGATGTGCCGTATGCAGAATGCCTGTCTGAGACCAGAATCTAGTCCTAACCTAGCCTGAGGCCTGATGCTCCTGGAGGTGTTTGTGTTCGCTGTGGCCCTGGGCGGGGGGCCCTTGAGCCGCCTGAGCAGCACGGTGGGAGGAGCCCGCTGTCACCCTGCAGACGCCAGCCCTGCCCCTGTCGGTCTACCCTAAGCGCCTGCTCACATCTTGGGGTGAGTCACTGGATGTGACACGGAGCACCCCTATGCTGTAGCCTGCACCCTGCTTAAACTATACCTTGGCCAGAATAAGAAGCACCCATCCTGACCCTCCACAACGTGTCCCATGGTTCTTGGCAAGCCGTGGGTCTGTAACACATTTTGGTCAGAAAAATAACTGAGAAAGAAAGGACGGGTGCAGGGTATGGTCCTTGAGACTCACCGCAAACACAGAAATAACGAGAACTGACTTCTTCCTGCCCCTCATAGGTCTGATGGCACATTCCAAAGGGCAGAGAGAGAAGACCCAGCCCTTAATGAAATAAGCCCAGGCTCCTGGACTTGCCCCAGAAGCTGTAGAACAGCTGCTGTGGCGGCACCCCAGGGTCTAGCAGGCCCAGGGCTAGGAGGGCAGCCCGTCACTCACCAGTTCATCAGCATCTGGGGCCTTTTTGACCGTGTATCCATACGGGTACATCAGCAGCTGTGAGTAGCTGTGCAGGTCGACGAAGCATTTGAAATCCCCATGTTCTTGGATGAAATCTACCACCGATTTCACCTCCACTTCCGAATTGGCATGGGGTCCGTGGTATATTTCAGAGCAAGGGTTGCCACTGGCTCCCTCTCCTGTGGGAGGGAGGGGTAGCCCAAGCAGAAACATTAATAACCCGTAGGCGAGAAAACAGAAATGCAGGGCACTCAACCCACAGGAAGGGCAGAAGGTGTTGGCAGTGGACAGGTCAATGCTAGAGACCGCCACCCAAGAGCCTAGTCACACCGTGGGTGCCATGAAGTGGGAGCCTAGGGTATTGGATCTGCCTCCTGAGGAGGAAAACTGGAAGGACTCTTTTAAATGGATAGAGTTGACCTTGGACTGTATCACTAACAGTACAGTTAACAGTTGTCATAAATAATTAATATCATACTTGACAATGAGTTATAATTAATAAGTATCTGAGATAATTAATATGAAGACCAATTAATAATGAAAATGACTCCATTTATTCTGGTGTCAACTAATTCTCTTGGTTCAGATCTTAATGGCCAAGCGCTGCCAAAAATAATCTATTGTTGTGGCAAAACTTTCATATTTGACAGGTATTTAGAAATACTGCCTTCTATGCTCCTTCACAGCATCGCTCCCTGAGGTATCAGGCCTGCATGCAAAACCAGCCCAGTTGTGGGAAGAGCTGACTTAACTCGGATGTCCCCAGTTCCCACATTTCTATCAGCTCCTTTCCCACAGCCACATTATTCCCACCCTCAACCCCCATCCCCCCCTAGCCAACGGTCCACACAGTAGGCAAGCTGCCTTCTTCTGAGTTACCACCAGAAGCCCTTCCACCACCCAGTCATCTGCCCAGGAGAAGCGGGGCGACCAGGGTATAAGGCGTGGATGTCTATGTCTAAGTCTAGAAAAGTTTCTAAAACACTAGTGTTCTTTAATTTTTTACCTTTTTCAATGTTTATTTATTTATTTTTGAGAGAGAGAGAGAGAAAGAGACAGAGCACAAGTGGGGTAGGGGCATAAGGAGGGGCAGAGAGAGAGGGAGAGACAGAATCTGAAGCAGGCTCCAGGCTCTGAGCTGTCAGCACACATTTCAGACATGGGGCTCAAACTCATGAACCAGGAGATCATGACCTGGGCTGAAATCAGGAGTCCTACACTTAACCGACTAAGCCACCCAGGCACGCCAAATGTTAGTGTTCTTTTAGGAGAACAAGAATTGCAGAGTCTTTCCCTTTCAAAATTATTTTTTAAAAAAAAACAAAAACAAAAACAAAAATCCACAAAAACCCAACACACAGTGTAAGGGCCTGGCTCAAGTCTCTCAGTGAAGCAGGAGCGGAGCCAGCCTGGAAACTGGCTCCCTCGCTGCCAGCTGGGAGCCCTGTGGACCAGGCCCCCCGGGGGCAGCAGGATTTGAACACCATGTCCCCAACCTACCTGCAAAACTAGCATTCCAATTTCTGTTTGGATCAGTACCAATGCAAGAGCTTCCAGGATTTATGGACCGTGTCTTCCTCCATAATCGGTTCTGAAAAGGCCACCAAGGAGGGAACAAACATCCAGAGATGGTCAGGGCGCAAGTGAGGCAAAGGTTTTGTCTGGGGGTCTGTGATGGACATGGGCACCACAGCGGGAGCAAGCTGCTTGCGGCTCTGCCTGGAGTTTCCCCGGGGCTCCGGTCCTCATGGACTGAGCTGTCTCCTCTCATCTCCCAGAAAGGAGGTTTAGCCCTTCTGGCTCAGACAGAAGGACTCCCCCAAAGTATCCTGATAAGAACTTTAAAAAGCAAGAACCAGCCCGATACCACCTGAACCCGCCAGAAAACCTCTGGTTTCAGCAAAAGTAGGACAAACAGACATCATATGCCCAAATGATCACTGGTGTGAGTGACAGGAAGTGCACCACAACTACTTTGTTCTTGCCTAAAAAACTAACCTGAATCCAATCAAACTTCAAGATCTGACTGCCAGTGAATAGGCAATGGCGGGGTGGGAGGGATCCAGAAACAAATGACACACAACAAAGAAGCCATCAGCCAAATTCAGAACGTGAAACGTTCTGCAGGACAATTTACTCAATTTCTCCAATAAATGAATGACATTTTAGAAGATATGTGTGGGGTGGAGGTGGGGGCGGGTAACTGCTGTAGATTTAAAAAGCCTGAAAATTCATAACAACCAAAGACAGGTGCAGACCTTATTTGGGTAGTGATTTCATTAAATTGAGTCAAAAGACATTTTAAAGATAATTGGGGGAATTAGATGATATGAAAGAACTCCCATTCATTTTTTAAAAGGTGACAGTGGTGTATTGTTTGGTTTCTTTTTTTGTGTTGTTTTAATTATCATCGCTAGAGGTGCATACTAAAGAAGTTTTGGGTAAAATAACCTGATGTCTGGGATTTGCTTTTAAATAAGAGGGGGAAAAGGTGTAGGAGGGAAAGAAATGAAAAGAAGATTGGTAAAGTGTTGATAATTATTCTAGAGCCACGACAGGGAGTTCATTAGACTATTGTCTCTAACAAAACTATTCCCTTGTGACCCTCGGCTTGGAGAGAGACTGAAAAACGAGAACCTAAGGAAGCTCCTAGCATGCACACGTGTGTGAGTTTTCTCCACATTCATATAACGATTTAGATGGCAAAGCAAGGAATTCAACAAATTCTCCTTAACTCCAAGCCCGGCCCACTCAGTATTACTCACTTGAGTTTGTGTGTACACATATCCATCAGGATTGGCCACGGGCAACAAGAAAATATCCATTTTCTCCAAGATGGAGGTGATGGCTGGGTCCTTCCCATAATCAGATGCAATCTAAGCAGAGACAAGCTCGTCAGCGATGCCAGGCTGGGGCGCTAGGTCTAAGCCTGTATCATCCCCAGAGGCCCCTCTGCGGCCTCGCTGCCGCCCTCATAGACACGGCCCTCTGCAAAGCTCTTGGAGCACTTCAAAACCTGGGGGCACGTGGCTTCAGAAGACATCAACATTTGCAATGAGTCCAGGGCTGCCTGGTTTATTCATTCCTTCCGGGGGGGGGGGGGAGGGGCAGGGGAGGGAAAAGCCACATATCATGATAGTTTGGGGGAATCCAGGCCCCCACGCTGAATGTTAGGGAAAATAAATCCTCCACACACAGCACCCCTCCTCTCCCTAGTGCTGCCCTTTAAAGCAGATTCTCCTGAGGGACATGGAGATGACATGACGTCCTCGAGGGTCTGGAGGGCTAGGATGGGGCTGAAGGCAAAGTTCGTGTGAGTTTCACTGCTGAGAAGCTCCCTTTCTGCAGGGCTGACTATGGGTCAGTGTTTCGGGGCCACCTCTGCAGCTCATTAGCTTGCTCGTTGCCATGAACGTACTTTGTCATTTAACTGCAGTGGCTTGACCAAGGGGCTCTGACCTCTCGCTTCTCTGATCTGAAAAGGCCCCCAGCCTACTGTGTCTATGCAGAGTGCCTTCCCACCTCGTCCCCCAGGCCCAGCCTCACGGCATGCCGCGGGGGCACCCCTGGCCCACCGGAATGCTCAGCTAATACCGGGCGACATGACCTTCCTCGCAGTCCAGATCGCCGTGGCCACCGAGATCCACTCCCGGGAATGGATGCCTGCGTTCAGCCAAATGGCCGGCCGCCGCCTGCCTTCTGCAGTGCTGAACTGTGGAAGGAGAGAGAGGCCGGGAAATGACCCTCCTGCCCACGGTTCCACTCACCTCTCCTCTCCCCAGCTCACCCCTATTCATTTAATCCATTTAAGATAATTCAGAGACCAAATGTTCCTGAGGGCACCATCTATTTATCAGGCTTCTCCGTGACCAGGGAGCTTAATTGGTTGGTTGGCAGGGCCCAGCCGCAGCTCCGGGCAGCTTGAGCTGCCCCCGGGTTGGAAGCAAATGGGAAGGGGAAACAATTGCTATTGTGAATTATAATGCCAGTGTGATTAGAGATAATATTATGTCTCTTGAAAGACCTCAAATGGTATCCCAACAGAGAGAGCCACAAGAGTGCATGAACCGGCCTGTCCTAGTTGATGCAATAAATGAATTCGATTTTAAAAGGAGGAAGAGAGAGGGGTTCACGATAGCTCTTTGTAAACAGCATTAAATGAATTCTGGCTCCTGCCTTTTAGTGTGAGGCTGGGCCGCCTTGGGTCAGAGTGTGGTGTTAATGAAGCCAGAGTCTCCATCAGGTTGGCAAATAATCTAAATTTATGTGGATTATTTTAGAGCAACCAGTTCGGTGGCAAATCTCCTCTGGCTGGTAATTCAAGCACCGCTATGAGCCGGGGTCCTTCACGGCTTATACGAAGCTAAGGACTTGACAAATTCTTAGCACCATCAGTTGTTCCGTGGGTCCTATCTCCAAATTCCTTTTACTCACTTGGCTGGATTATTTATGTAATTTATGTCCCTGCCATAAATTCTCTACCTCTTTTGCCAATATAGACCTGAATCTGTTAGAAATATCTAGAAATTAGGCTTTGTGCAGCCAAGGAGCATAGGCTGGGCTTAAAATTACATCAACCCTAAAATTAGCTTCCTAGATTGCTTTTCCAATAAGTACCCCTAAAAGCAGAATGGAATTTGTAGAACTATCCCCATTTGTCTTGCTTTACAGAGGTAGGAATGAAGGCAAAAGACTGTGGCCTATCTGAGAGCTTTCTGGAATACTAACCTAACTCACCCCACGCCCACCCCCACTACCCCTCGCCCCCACTTCCCTCGATCCTGGCTTTCAGTAACAACTTGCAGTGCGATGGACTCCTTCTAAGTTCTAGCTCCTTCCACATTAGCCAAAAGCAGAGGACTCTCTGTCAGACCAACTTTGAACCCCAGGAGATGTCTCCTCAAGCCCCTGAAGTGAAGGAGATCCTAAAAAGCTGCCCCCTTCAGAGGGCTGAGGGCTGGGTCCTGGACACAAGGAATCGGGAGCCTGAGTCCAATCTGGCCCCTTGAAGAGCCTGGGGTCTCACCTTCAGTACATACATGGACCGGTTTTCAAATGAATGCCCAATCTTCACTCTGCTCGCCAAATCAGGAAAATCTCCAGCAATGCTATCCATCTCATGGTAAATCTGAAGCACGAAAAAGTGAACTCAGGGGCGTTGAAGAATTTTGTTCAGCTCGGGGTAGGTATCTGTGAACTTCATCTTACTGATCTTAATGATTTCTTCCAGCCCTGTGATCTTGGGGTTGGCAATATTATCGCCTGGATGACTATTCTTGAAGAACTGCCTAAAGCGTACTTTTCAACAATATTCTAGAAAATAACACATTTTACTTGTCCATAAAATTACAGGCCACTCACCTAGAGAGACTTGTGTAGATACCTCTCCAACAGTGCAGTGCCTTGCACCATACTAGACTGGTTAAATCAGCAATTGCCCGATCTAGCCAGGGTTCTTGAAAAACGATCCTCTCCAAATTTTCTGATGCGTTTCTCCACGAGGTTTTTTAAAAAATTACCATAGGGGCACCTGGGTGGCTCAGGTGGTTAAGTGTCTGACTCTGGATTTCAGCTCAGGTCATGATCTCATGGTTCATGAGTTCAAGCCCCATGTCAGGCTCCATGCCGTCAGCACAGAGCCTGCTTATGATTCTCTCTCTCTCTCTCTCTCTCCCTCTCTCTCTGTCTCTCTCTGCCCCTCACCTGCTCGCTCGCTCTCTCTCTCTCTCTCTCTCTCAAAAAATAAGCTAAAAAAATTTTTTTAATTACCATACACCATATATGTATATGTGTGTATATATACATTTGTTTTATAATGTACATATGTTATGTATACTACATGTATATCATACATTTTATATGTTATACCACTGGAATAATGTACCACACAAATATGTACATTATAAAATAACAAAAAGAAACAAACAGAGTTGCATTAATTATAAACAAACGTATGGAGAATGTAAACGGAAGTTGTAATAGGTTTCCTCCTCCATCCCAGTGAGGCATCTCCCTCGCCCCCTGTAGTACAAGCACCCCACTTTGGAGAGTCCTCTAATGGCCTTAAGAGAACAAGTGAAGCACTGTAAATCACAGTTACAGATGCAGCCATTTTTGTTGATTTGACTTAAATAGAGTTCATCCATTTTGGTTGCACAAACCTCTTGAGGGTCAAAAGAAGGAAATAAATAAATTTACATTTAGACCTTAAAATTGGAAGAGGGAGCTTTACAGAGGAGGAAAACGTGCATTCAATATAGAATAAAATCAAGCTTAAGCAGTTTATCACAGTTGCAGTCAATATGGCAAACGGAACAGAAGCAAGAAACCACCCCCCAGATGTACAACAGCAAGCCAGGTAAACTACAATGAAAATAACCCTCAGCCAAGTTTAAAAATCAAGAAAGGAGAACCTGCAGGGGCAAGAAATGAAAGGGAACAACTAGCCAGATGGATGGAAGGTAGAAAACGGACCACGGGGACCAGACATCTGCCGTAGGCACTGAGGGTTTACAGCAAACCAGGAATAGCAATAGAGGGCACAGGTCTCGGTGTGGGCAAGGCACTGGAACTTGAGAGCTGGGAACTCGCCACGCCAGCCATGAAAAGGGCCTGGAAACTCTACCTACTGACCCTACAAAGTGAAGCAAAAGCCGGATGCCCGCCCTGAACCACGATGGGCAAGAGAGTCACCCAGGTAAAGTCAGAACACCAAGCCATATCCAGAGGGAGGAGTCCAAATTCACACCGCCTACATTAGGGAACATTTGGCCGAGCACCTAAAGGAAATAACAGCAACCACAACAACACACAGAAAAACTGGAACTGGAAACCCTGGACGAGACAAACATGACCTTCCCACCAGAGATGTAAGAAGGCCTAAGTGGTTACACGATGAGAGCTCTTCAAAGCTGTTTTTAGAAAGAACCGCATGTGATCAAGTCAAGAGGGAGGTGGCACACCAATGCACAGCACAGGGGGATACCTAGAGCCAGAGGGCAAAGTAAGTGCTTGCCAAAGTGAGGATCCCATAGCAGGCAGGCGAGGGGACGGAGTTCCAGGGGTCACCTGGAGCTCTGGGTGACATTTGCAACCGGTTAGCTCAGCTAGGGAGTGCCCCTCCTTCATGAGGCTAACGTCATGGGTTTGATCCCTGTGTGAGCCCTGAGCTCTGCTTTTGTCCGTGGCCCGGAACTGAACTCCTAACTTTATCCAGCTGTTCTACAGATGTATGTCACTGGTCACAAGAGGGATCAAGGGGCAATGCGGTTGGAAGTGTACACAATAAACAGAGCTACTGACAATCATGGGAAAGAAGTGAAAACAGTTGGTCAGCCTTGGAAATAACCCCTCATCCAGAAGAAAAACAACTCAAAGTATATGCCTCATGAAAAGCATGCCAGGAACACCATCTTTGGATAGAAAGAACAACATTTATGCAGGTATAGGAAGGGGAGTAACGATTTTGTTTTGAGGTGTTGTTCTAAGCTAGAAGAGTGCTTCCAGACTAATGGAGAAGACATCGAGGGTCATAAGAAACCTCTATTATATGTGACACAGTCTCATTCTGTAGCCCCTCTTGATCCTTCGAGTTCTAATAGCATATTAAATTGTTTTGCTCCAAGTTTTATATTGGAAGGATTGGCTTACCTTGAAAGTCAGTCATCTGTATAAAGTGGTTTTTAACTAAACACAGCACCAAAACACATTAGGGAACAAATGTACATTATAGGTAATCATGATAAATGAGTGGAAATATTTGGTTAACCTTGGAAATAACCACTTGTCTACTTGCCTGGAATAAGTAACATTTTAATCTGGGTGAGTAAAATACAGGGATTATGGTGGGGTATGGGAAGGTTGAATTACAAGGACGGAAATGATCGTAATTATTTCACGGTTTTCTTTAAGGGGTTGCCTTAGGAAAGAAGGGTGCATGTGGGAGAAAATGTTCAGTTGTGTTTCACTCTGCTCTTAGGTGCTGGTGGGAGATAAACAGCCCAAGAATTATAAAGAAATTGAAGCGTTCACATTTTAGCCCCTTAGTAAAAGGGTGTTGTGCTAAGGACTAATACCTACCCCCTGCAAGTAAGGAAAGGGGTTACGAACCCCAGGACGCTGATGACCTTTATCTTAACCTTGCTCTGAGACACTTACCGCTTCCAAGGAATGGTAGGCCCCATAGTTGAAGTTATTACTGCTTCGCTCTTGCCCTTCATTGTGTTGCATTTCTTCATCTTCATGATCTAAAAGGGCCTGAAAAAGACACGGCGATGTTGTGACGTGATTCACTGGAGATGGAAGCTCGTGTTGTTTCAGCCACATTTTGGCACGAGCTGACCAAGATGGCGGCACTCCTGTCACACAAATGGCAAGGTGTAAAAGGGGGTCAGATTTTTTTCTACGTATCTATAAAAGCTTACTTCTTGGCACCCAACGTATGTCACCCCATTCAAAACCCACTTACTCCCCAAAAGCAACATATGTGCTATTTGGTTACTCTATACTGTGAATTCTCTAGATATCAGCCCGCATCTGGTATCCAGTGCCTGTGAAATACACAGCTTGGGAAACCATTCAGAAACAAAGAAATTCTTATAACCACTCATACTTTGAAGGCTCCTGGCAGATGTCTGTGACATGTGAGGATGATTAATAAGTTCACAGCTGCTCACGCCATCAGGAAACTCCCCGGCCAAATCAGCAATTAGTCCATAACCCACCTCGGTGAAGGAGAGAACAAGAGCCAGACACCGTCCTGCTGCTCAGATACAGGTCGTGAGGCTGGTGTCTGGCTTGGGTGGTGATGTTCCCTCTGCTGAGAACTGTTGGTGACATTCCCTCTTCCTCAAAGGACACTTTTTATAACTGGTCTCCAACAGCCCCCACAACACCTATGCACACACACTCTTTTCTTCCCTTCTGACTTCAAATACAAAAAGGGACAGAGGTTTAATACTTGAGAGGCACCTATACCAGACCAGGCACTGCTGGGCATTTTACATACACTTAATCACTTAATTTTCTCAACGAACTGTATGAAGTAGGTCCTCACTGTTACCATTTTACTGAGGAAGAAACAGAGGCTCAAGACATTAATAGTGCGTCCAAAGTCACACAGCTGGTAGTTAGCAAAATCAGGATTTGGATCCAGATCTGTCCAGTTCCCTAAACTACAGATGCCCTTTTCTACTACAACATGGTCCACTAACAAGTCATTGCACTTGACCTCCCTAGGCCTCAATGAGTTCATCTAGAGAATGGAGAAAGATAAGACCAGTACTTGTACGGGTCTCAGATCCACTCTGGATGCTTTGTCCTATGCAAGACCTGCACTTGACCTCCCTAGGCCTCAATGAGTTCATCTAGAGAATGGAGAAAGATAAGACCAGTACTTGTACGGGTCTCAGATCCACTCTGGATGCTTTGTCCTATGCAAGACCAGTTAGGGGCCTCGGTCTACCCACCTGCAGGTCTTCAATTGTCACTGAGTACTCTAAGCCCTGGGACTTTAGGAAGGATTTGACCGGCTGCAGGCTGACAGACGGGATCAGGACATCCACAAGACGACTGAAGGTGGAGGGAGATTTCCAAACACTGAGCTGAAGAGAACAAAAATAAAACCAGGTTAGAGGACAGTTCAGGTAAAAGGCACCATGAGCTCATTCTTCTAGAACAATTGCCAAAAGCCAGGGTGATCCCTGAGGAGCTGGGCCCCGCCCAAGGGCAAATGCTGCCCATTTCTCAGCCGTGTCTGGTCAGGCCTACCCAGAAGGTGATACCTGGCAAAGTCCAAGAAGGAAAAAGACAATGTCAGATAGAAAGACGGCGTGCACTGCTGAGGCCTCCCGTCGCCCAGGACAGCAGCGTTGTGACCCACAGCCCTCCCAGTCGTGCGGAGGCACGATGACTGACACAGGACTACACACAGAAACTCTTCAAGAGTAACAATACCAGTGGTGCTAATCTCTCTCCCCAAAGCCAGAGACACCCCAGAAGACGAAGAAGAACCAGGTACCTTAAAGTCGTCTGAATTCACTAGCTGCCTCAGTTTGCTGATCTCGTCTCCATTTCTGACGTTAATCCTAAAAACTTGGTCCCTGGAGTGGAGGGAAAAAAGAAAAAGAAAAGCAAGAGATAATGGTCAGCTTTCAGCTGGCAGATAAACCCCAAGCCTACTATCCCAGACATAACTGGGCCGAATGAGAGGAAATGGTCTAGTCTTTGGTTATAATGTATAGCCATTAAAAATAAGACTACGTGGCAAATGTGAAAAAGTGCTTATAGTATAACTTGAAGGGAAATATTAAGCGAAAGAGCAGGACACAAAATTGTATGTATGCCATGATTACAAGTATGGAAAAAGCAGATGCATTGGAAGAAAAACAGACAACGGAAATATAGCAAATGCTGACAGTGCTTATGTCCGGGTCGTGGGATTATGGATGACTTACTTTTTTTCCCCTTGTATCTGTTTTCTGTAATGTGGTCATATTACTTTATAATGAAAAACATATATATTTTGCAGAAAGGAATGTTCCTGAGTTACACGCAAAGCTAACTCAAGACATAAAGAAGCACTTCTTCACTGTCAGGGGCTAGGGCTGAAACTCTGGCTGAAGGTCCATGCTGGAAAGAGCTGGAAAAGAGAACAGCCCTTCCATCCTCAGAGGGTTAGCTATGTGCTGGGTGGTCTCTCAACCCTGTCCAGCTCCAGAACTCTATACAAATGCGAATTACAATCAGGGCTAGGGTGCTGCGGCAGACTTGGGATTCAATCCTCCCCAGGGGGCCCTGAGAAGGCCCAGAAGGGAGCCTGCCAGTCCCGAGCCCCCCTTTGTTGTCTGTCCTGAACTTGCTTCGTGTACGCCATTTAGCTTCCGCCGCAGTGGCAAAAGCAGAGGCCCCCCAAAGTCCTGTGTGTGGGCGGGAGAAGGCCGAGCCTGAAAAGCTGCCTTTGTGCCCTCAGCTCTGAGAGCCAGGGGAGCCATTAGGCCGTTGCTAGGTGACAGCCCGAATGAATCCGCACTCGACGCTGTCACATGCGTCATCCCTTTACACGAATGAATGCGGGAAGAGCTGCTGGAGAGGGCTGTGGGCTGAAGGACCTGTTGACAGAGAAAATGGTTCTGTCACAGGGAGCTAAATGTGCAGCCTCACGTGGCAGATCCACATCTTCTCATCAGAAAACCGGCTCAATCCAGATGGGACTCTCAGGGTTCAACTTTGTTCCGGGAGGTTCTGGAGAATCTCCGGGGGGTCGTCTAGTCCAGCCCCAAGGAGGCAAGAGTTGCTTCCGCTGCAGGTGGAGGTCTGGAGGAAATGCCAGGGCCAAGGGCTCACTTTCTCCCGACTCATCCACTCTCCACAGGGTCCTTGGAGGTGGGCGGCTAAGCACATCACCCTGGAGCTGTTGAGGCCGCTGGCCGGGCTGGGCAAGGTCTCACACTGAGCCCAACAGGCTTGCTAGGAGTTGAACTGCAGCCTTGGGAAAATGGGAAGTCAGACTACCATTTCCCTGACGCAGGCAAGCAGGCTCGCAAAAAAAAAAAAAAAAAAAAAAAAGGAACAGGGTTTAAAACAGAAGGGGAATCCTTACTCCTGGCTAAGTACCGGGACCCATCTGCTGAACTTCTGCTCTGTCACAACCCACCCCCAACACTCCAGAAACAGAGGAGTCTTTAAGATGAGTGTTCTAGAAAGCACCTGTGCACTGACATCTCTATTGGCAAAATGAGGCATCTTGTACCACACAACACTGACTAGAACAACCATAAAAAAAGGAGTGGAGGGAAAAGGAACAGGAAGAGGAAGAAAAAAAAAAGAGGAACACAAGAAGAAGGAGTTCTCAAGAGTATGGACGTCATGTTACACAAGCCCCAAGAACGTGTGTTTTCCTTTTCCAGAGTGGTAACTTCACAACAGAACTTCCACACTCCTGGGCAGAGTCCACAACAGTGGAACACGGTGAACCAAACAGGTCCTGAGCAGGAGTAAATGCACAGCACATTTCTTCATACCCTATCAGCTGAGCTACAGAGGATAGAGACACAACTGTAGAGTGGAGAGAGGCAGTGCGGAAGGGCTGCTGCAGAGCGGAGCCCTTCCCCGTCGGTCTCTCCTCCACCTCTCCGTCCTACACTCTCAGCACCAGCCTCACCGAAATCCCAAATTCACCATGTACTTTGCCCCTCCGTGCCTTTGCACATGCTGTTCCCTCTACCTGGCTGCTTAGCCCTTTTCCTTGCCTGCCTGGCAATCTCACACCCAGGCTCTAAGAACCAAATGTCATTAGCCAATGGGTTCTCCCTAACCCAGAGGCAATGTTAGGGATGGTCTTCAGATGGCGCTAAAAAGTGGGGGTTTGGGGGATCTAACATCATTGTCATGAGCATAAGTCCATCAGTACCAAGAAACAGAGAGAACATAAGCAGGTGCAAGGTGAAGGGCAGCCATTTTCTTGCCCTAATTGTCCTTGTCTCTGTTTGCAAAATGCTCCTTCCGGGTCCTGATAGTGTGGGTAGCTGAACACGACCTACCTCTGCCGTAAATCCAGTCAAAGGCCTCAAACTCTTCCTGAAAATGGAAGACTGGTCCGGGAGAGGGGATATACTGGGCTTTGCAAGCTGCCACATTACCTCTGCTGCTCCCCACGGGTGTTCTCCGCGCTCTTGCTAACCCTGGTCCGCTCCCACACCTCGGGCTGTCCAGCTGCTGCCACTGCACCGGCTGGTGACCTCCTCTCACTCACCCTCACGCTCATCCCATGTTCTGGACACCCTAGTACTGAGCTTCCCGCCCTCCCCCGTTCCCATGAGGGCAAGCCAAGTGGCCTGGGCCCTGTGTCTTTCTCACCCAGATCCCCAGCCAGGCTCAGCAGCCACCACAGGACATAGTTTCACAGAACTCTTCAATGCCTGCCAGCTACTGCTGATGCTACAACCGGTTCTGCCACCACTTCCTGTTCTCTGCCTGCCCTGCACCTCTAGGCATCCTGGCCACCGTCCATCCCTAAGATGACTGAAGACCAGGCCAGAAGACACCAGCGGAGTGAGACACACCCAGGAAGTAGGGAGATAGGTGGAATAAACACAAGCTGGGGGGGGGGGGGAGGAGCAGCCATCATCACCATCTCCGCCAGTACTGCCTCCACCCCCCCACCCCCCAGGCAGCCTGGGTTCTGGCTTCCTACCACATGAATGCCCAGAGAGGCCAGTGTCCCCTTGCTAGAAACGTTCATGGAGCAAGGTGTCTGGGACGTATCTGCAGCCCCCAGGAAGGATTCCACCACCCTTGCTGGGTTTCCTATACTCCAGGATGGGAACAGATTTGGGGGTGAGGATGACACCAGCAGCAGAAAACATCTGCCGTTAGCTCAGGCACGCAGCCCTTCCTGTGTGGGCCCCTGTGGCAGGCACACCAGCGCTGGGCCCAGCTGTCTCAACTCAGGGGTCCGCTGCACCGTAAGAGAAGTCTGTATCCAGAGAAACGAAGATTGTTCCGGCCACGTGAAGAGCTGCAGTGAGAGGCTGACAGCTCTCTGCATCAGCCCACACGGCAGCAAGCATAGTTATGACACACCTACTGCTGAGCTGCCTGTGGAAATATGTCCTTCTCTGGCCACCTGCTACGTCTAACCCCTCTGAGCTATTTGACAGTAGACACCAGGTGTGAAAAGAAATCATCGCCATAAAAATTACTCAATCTCATAGAAGTAATTACCTCAATAAACAGCCCCAAAGTCTCTTCAGCCACAGTATATTAGAGAGTAAACTAACACACAGAGACCTACCTGTGAGGTACAGGATTCTGGCCGGGGACTAACTTGTGTTACAGCAAAAGGGTATGAGTTTTGCGTCCAGAGTTCCGGCTCCCCTGCTTACTGGCTAAGTGGCCTTGGGCAGGTTCTTTAACCTTTCTAAGGCTGAGTTGTTTCATGTTTAAATTGAGGAAAATAATACCCCTGCCTGGCAGAGTTGTTGCGTGATCCAAAAGATAATGCACATGAAAGCTCTTTGCAAATGGCAAAGCATTATGCAGTAATGAGTTATCAGAATTCAATCTTCTAGCAGGGGACCAAGGCACCCTTTCATCTCGCCTTCCTTCCAAGTGTCCTCTCCACTGCAAAGCACAAAGCATTCTGCAAACACACATGCACGCGCACGCGCTCACACACACACACACACACACACACACACACACACACTGTACAGGTGTATCCTTCGATGTCGATTTTCACAGCTGTGGCTAGGCAAGACCTAGCAAATGTCCACGTCCCAGATGCTGATGAGAAAACACCAGCTCTACAAAGCCTTCACCATTAACAGAGAGGTGAAACCAAAAAGCCTAAGACCCAGGGTTTCCCCCTAAGCATGGCAGAAATTAGAAACAACTTTCAGTAATTCTCGGTAATTCATAATATATAAATAAGAAAGTAGGAAAGGCCTGGAACCGACCTTACGACTAAGAGCCAGGAAGTAAAAGAGCTGACAGGAGATTAGGGAGCTAGGGGAGGACTGTGGAGCCCACCTCGTCCTGATTTCACAGGTAAACTGAGCCTGAGAGAGAAGGAACTTGCCCAGGATGACAGAGGGCAGGACTGAGACAGGAGCTCATGTCTTCTCTCCCAGTGCCACTCCATGTGAGATATAATCAGCCATTCATTTTCAAATCCATTTGGCTCCCGTATCTCTGAACTAGCGAAATAATAACAACGATAATAATAAGTCCAAAAGGAACTTACCCAAAAAACGTTTGTCGGCTACAGATGCTGAGCCCAATAAGGGCCCCAAAGAATAGTATCCACTTCATGTCCCAAGGGTGTCAGTCATAGAGTGACTGAGTCAAGCTGTATTTATTAAGATGCTGAGGCAGACTCATGTCCTCAAAAATGCTACTGTGATTCCCAATCACCCTTGCAACTGTGATGGTAGGTCAGGCGGGCACCTACCAATGCCTCTTCCATTCCTTTCGAGTGATAAAGGCTAAGCCTCTTGATTTACAAGGTCAGGAACTTGCTCCTCAGGCTGGAAAAGTCTGTGCCAAGGGTGCCATGTTGCTCATCACTTGGTATTTAAATAGTGTTTTCTGAATAAACAGGGAAGTCCCACGGTGCTGGAAAGAATGTACACTAATAGGAGAGGCCAAATTGTAAACCTGAAATGAAGTTACCTCTAGAGTAAGAAAGAAAGTGAAGACTATCAAAGAAACCCCAAGTCAACTCCAAGACCACACACTTGATAAGCCCTATCAGAGAATTTCACCAGAACAAGTCATAATGATGAGAATTTGTGACCTCTGTTATGAATCTGACACCTAATTCTTTTTTTTGATAGTTAATTGTCATGTTGGTTTCCATACAACACCCAGGGCTCATCCCCACAAGTGCCCTCCTCCACGCCCATCACCCCCCTTCTCCTTTCCCCCATACTCTTCAGTTTGTTCTCAACATTCAAAAGTCTCTCTTGGTTTGCTCTGACACCTAATTCTTATGACTCCCCTAAAAACGTAGAAATACAGGAGGTAAATGGGATGGGAGGAAGTGTTGTTAGTCTGGATAAAATGTCAGTTTTCCTTGGGGTTTGAGTACAGGCGAGGCTTAATGGTATTATTAAAAATAAGACTTTCTTACATTTGCTATACTCTCAGTCTGGTGTCCTTTCCACCAAACCCTGTCAGAATATATGAAAGGCACTCATGATGTCCACAACTTCTTCAGGGATTCTGAGGCCTTTGAGACTGTCCTGGGAGCTCCAAATCCTCAAATGTGGAGCCCCACACCCACAGCCTCCCCCATCCCACCATCCCTATGGTCTACATGATTCGTTCTGCTCTTGCTCAAGGGGAGAGGATACAACCAAAGGCCATGGTTGGGAGTGTTAAAGAAAAATTGTTCTGATACTTGTTAAAACTGTAAGGAAGACTTTATTCAAGATTATTACAATGAGGCTCATGCATCACAAGAGAGTAATGTGTTCAACTCTGAGTACGGTAAAGACAGCAGAGTGAGGGGGGTCAGTAGACGGAAAACTGCTAAGGGAAGACATCAAGGGTGGGGGGATTCTTGTTTAACTGGAATAACAAGGTTCTTGCCAAAGGCAGACCAAAGACTTAGTCATCAAAGGTGGAGGCTGAGGCACTCAATCAGATATCAAGGACTAGGGGATGACTTAGCAGGATTCTTTGCTAAGACTGACTTAGATAGGGCCCAAGGACAAGGCCAAGTCAAACACAGGGCTCAGAGAAGCCTAAGTAAGTTTGGGTCACGGAGTCTGTCATGATTTAGGGAGCTGGGGTCTTTATCAGGACTCGTTTGTCCACACCGAAACTGAACTCCCACGCCCACCCTGCTCCATAACAAAGGCTGGGCTCTGAGATAGATTTCAGCTTGAAATAAGTAAAAAGAGAAGCCGAGGAGCTGAATCAGCAAGACATGTAAACTAAAGAATCAAGTACTCAGAATTCTAGGCAAGCTGAAATTCATTTCCCATCCTTTCTCCCAGAGAAAACCATCAACAAGAAAATCCCAATCCCTAATGGAAGTGAATGTCTAAAAAGAACATATATAGAATCTAAGACCCAGGTTTGATGGGGCAACCAGGAAGAATGAGTGTCATTGGTTTGAGTCCCCACTTGTTTTTATAATGCAGCACACTGGAAATGGAAAAAAGCAGAAGACATATAGCACCTAGGATAATGCTTGGCACAATGTAGTTGTTTAATTAGTATTTCTTGAATAAATGAACTCGAAAGTCCCTTGCTAGCTCCAAAACACTACTCTATTAAGATTAAGGGCCTGACACATGCCATAACATACCTGAACCTAGATGACATTATGTTAGGCAAAAGAAGCCAATCACAAAAGGACAAATCCTTTATGATTTCATTTACATGAGGTACCTGGAATAGGCAAATTCACAGAGACTGAAACTAGAATGGAGGTTATAAGGGGCTGGGGGGATGGGGAATGGGTTGTTATTGCTCAATGGGTATAGAGTTTCAGCTTGGGATAGTGAAAAATTTCTGGAGATGGACAGTAACAACGACTGCACAACCTTGTGAATGTACTTAATGCCGCTGAATTACATACTCAAAAATGGTGAAAATGGGGGTGCCTGGGTGGCTCACTCAGTTAAGCATCCAACTCTTGATTTTGGTCCAGGCCATGATCTCACAGTTTGTGGGATAGAGCCCCGCACTAAGCTCCACACTGTCAGTATAGAGCCAGCCTGCTTGGGATTCTGTCCCTCTCCTTCTCTCTCTCTGCCCCTCTCTCGCTCATTTTCTCTCTCTCTCTCTCTCTCTCTCAAAAGAAATAAACTTTTAAAAAATGGTGAAAATGGTTAATTTTATTATCTATTTTACAATTTTAAAAAATATTTTAAAGGATGTTGGGAGCCTTTTACTCAGGATGGATTTTTTTTTTTTAATGAAGGGGTAACCTCAGTGGCTTACTATATTTCAGGGCAACATAAATCAAAGAAATAACTCCTAGATCAGGATTAGAAAAAGGAATAATCACAACCCAACTCTGCTTTAAACCAAAGAACTTTTAATGGTGTTTATCCCTCAGAGCCCTAATAGGGGTGGTCTCGCACGTGCTCCATGATCGTCTTCAAGCCAAGCCAGGTCTCTTCTGCTGTAGGCAAGATCTGACTGGCTGGCAGGAGGAAGCCATATCGACCTGTGTCCCTCAGTTCAAAGGCAAATGAGTATTTGATGCCATAGTCATATGACCAGTCAATGCTTCCTCCACTGGCTTGG